TTGTTTTCTTACGAGCGAACGGCGAAATTGTGGGTTTCCGAACCCCTTTCTTCGTGTACTATTAGAATCAGTGGGCTTCCGAACCCCATCTTCGTGTACTATTAGCTCTATAGCCCTTGTATTGTTTTCCTATCAGCGAATGGCGAAGTTGTGGGTTTCCGAACTCCTGCTTCGTGTACGATTAAACTCCGACTATTCTATGTTATTGTATTTGGTTTCAACAGATTGTGTGGAACCGAACCCGAACCCTTACCCTTACCCCTACCCTTACCCTTACCTTACCCATTCGTTCTTAGTAGACACGAAAGTGAGGTTTGACCCTAGTAGTAGTAGTAGTAGTAGTAGTAGTAGTAGTAGTAGTAGTAGTAGTAGTAGTAGTAGTAGTAGTAGTAGTAGTAGTAGTAGTAGTAGTAGTAGTACTAGTAGTAGTAGTAGTAGTAGTAGTAGTAGTAGTAGTAGTAGTAGTAGTAGTAGTAGTAATAGTAGTAGGTAGTAGTAGTAGTAGTAGTAGTAGTAGTAGTAGTTAGTAGTAGTAGTAGTAGTAGTAGTAGTAGTAGTAGTAGTAGTAGTAGTAGTAGTAGTAGTAGTAGTAGTAGTAGTAGTACTAGTAGTAGTAGTAGCGGCCAGCCAGGCCAGTTCCGCGGCGTAGTTCGTTTGCATTCTTCGCACTGGCATTGGGACTCCCGACGAGGCAAGTCGTCAACCGTGCTCGCTTGATTTCGTTGTGATGTGGCCGCAGCGCGCCCTTGGATGTTTCAACGTAGCATGGCCGATGGTATTGCTAGACATATAAAAAGAGTGCAAACATGCGTCGGGAGCAACAGGGAAAACGAAATTACAGAGGAATAAGCCGTACATGTTTAAAATCATATATAGCAGGACAAGAGTGAGCGAGAGAGATCAGAGATATATCAGAGAAAGAGAGAGAGAGAGAGAGAGAGAGAGAGAGAGATACAGAGAGATAGGGAGAGGGAGATAATGAGAGAGGGGAGGAAAGCGAAAGAGAGAAAGAGAGGAGAAAAAAACAGCTCCCAAATAGTCCCAGATGCCCCCCCCCCCCCCTCCCCCGCAAAGCCCCCCCCTCCCCTAACCCCTCCCCCCCTCCCCCCCCTCCTCCCCCTCGAAGACCGGGTGGTCACTGCCGGTTCGAACCCCCCCCCCCCCCTTCGAAAACCGGGGGGGTCGCTTGCCGGTTCGAACCCCCCCCCCCTCTCGAAACCGAGTGGGGGTCCACTGCCGGTTCGGGCCCCTCCCAACCCCCCCCAACAATTCACCGCCAGCAAACGACTCCTGGTCCCTACCACCGTCCGCATCACATCCCCCGCTGTTGTTCCCAGCTCCACTGTCCTCACCACCACTGTCCCCGCTGGTTCCACCACCGTCCCTACTGTCCCCACCAGTGCCCCCACCACTGTCGCACTGTCCCCACTGTCCCCACCACTGTTCCCACCACGGTTCCACTTTCCCCACTGTCTCCACGGCCCCAACCACTGCCCGACTATCCCCACTGTCCCCGCTGTCCCATTGACTCCTCCGCTGTCCCACTGAGCTGTCCCACTGTTCCCACCACTGTCCCCACTGTCCCCACCACTGTCCCCACTGTACCTCTGTCCCATTGTCCCACTGCCGTCCTCGCCACCTCCTTCACCACTGTCCCCACCACCATTGTGCCCTCCTCTGTCCCACTGTTTCCACTTCATTCCCACTGTCCCCACACCACTGTCCCCACCACTGTCCCCACCACCACCGTCCCCACCAGTGTCCACTGTCCCCACTGTTCCCACCATTGTCCCTACCACTGTCCCCACCACTACAGTCCCCACCATTGTCCCATTGTCCCACTGTCCCCACCACTGTCCCGCTGTCCCCTCGCCGCTGTCCCCACCACCACCGTCCCCACCACTGTCCGCACCCCCGCTCGGTTTTCGAGCGGGGGGGGGGTCGAACCGGTAGTGGCCCCCCCCGGTTTTCGAGGGGGGAGGATTCGAACAGGTAGTGAACCCCCCCCCTTTTCATGATGAACTGGGGGAGGGGGGAGGGGTTCGAACCGGTAGTGACCCCCCCGGTTTTCCGCCAGCAGCGGTACAACACGTTCTTTCTTTTATCATGGGCGCTTCGCTCCCGTCGTTCAGGCTGGCGCTCTCGCTCTCGCCTCAGTGCGGGCCACTTTCCTGGATCCGACTCCTGCATCGTTGTCGCCCCCAAATTTCCCCTTTTCCGCCATCTCCTGGTCCTCATGCTCTTCCGCTCCTTCCACTCCATTTCCTGCTGCTGCTGCTGCTGTTCGTCCTTGTCCCCCTCCTTCCTCATCTTCCTCCCTCTCCTCCTGCTCATTCTCCTGCTCACCCGCCACCTCCTCCTCCTCCTCCTACGCACGCAGCCCCCCTTTGCTGATTGCGCATAACACGATGGGCGTCGTTTTGAAGTTCCAGGTCGGCTATGACACGCGTCCGCGGATAGAGGAACCCAGCGCACTGGGAATGGATGCGTGGGAGGGGTAGGATGTCAGGTGTGGCGCGAGCGCACCTAGCTTTCTTCTCTACTATCTCCAATCTCCTCCCTCCTTTCTCCCCTCTGTGCTTTATACTTGCTCAGCATTAGCCCCGCTCTCCCCTCTCCCCCAAGACTGCCTGAGAGTCGCGCGCCCCCCTCCGCGGATGGCTTTTCGCACGCAGGATGGGTTGGTATGTTTTTTTCTAATGTGGCTATTTCCCAATTCTAATTTACCCGGTCCTTCAAGAGAGGTGCTCCCGTTGCTGCGTGGGCCTCATTTCAGGATAGGGGCTCTGCCCCCGTCGTTCAGATCGGCGCCCTCTCCCCAGCGTGGGCCAGTTTTCTGGATCTGGGTCCTTCCTCATCGTTGGCGACCCCTGCTTTCCCCTCCTCTGCTCTCCTGACCCTCCTGCTCCTCCCGCTCCTTCCACTCCAGTTCCTGCTGCTGCTGTCAGTCCTCGTCCTTTTCCTTCCTCATCCTCTTCCTTTTCCTCCTGCTCGTCCTCCTGCTCATACGCCACCTCCTCTTCCTATGTACGGGAGAGCGCGTTTCACGGGCGCTTGCCTTGGGAACATTCGGCGGCGCGTTTCGAACCGGGGGGTGGCCCTCCCCTACATTCGGCGCCGTCGATCAAAATCAATGGGGCCCCTCTCCCCCCCAAACCCCCCCCCTCCCGACCCCCCCCCCCTTCCCCTCGGCGCTGGCGCCGGCGCTGGCGGTGGCGGCCGCCAACAGCGCCGACGGCGGTGACGCAGCGACGCTCACCAGAGGCAGCCCAAGGAGGGGGGTAGGGGCCTCCCACCCGGGCGCCGGCGCCGGCGGTGGCGCTGGCGGCGGCCAGCAGCGCCGGCGGTGGCGCCGGCGACGGCGGGGACGCAGCGACGATTACCACCATGTCCACCACCACCACCACCGCCTCAACCCACCACCACCAAACCACCACCAACCCACCACACAACCACCACCACCACCACCACCACCACCGCCACAGCCACCACCACCACAACCACCACCACCACAACTCACCATCACCACCACCACCACCACCACAAAAATCCACCACCACTACCACCACCACAATCTATCACACCAGCACCACCACAGCCACAACCCACCACCACCACCACCACAAACCACCACACCACCACCACCGCCACCACCACCACTACCAGCAGCACCACCTCCACAAACCATTGCCACCACCACCACCATCACCACCACAAACCACGACCACACTACCACCAAACCACCACGGCCACCGCCACCACCACCCGCCACCACCACCACCCACCACACCACCACCACCACCACCACCTCCACCACCACCACCACCACCACCACCACAAACACCACCCACCACCACACCACCCTACCACCACAACAACCACCACACCACCACCACAACCACCACCACCGCCACCACCACCACCACCACAACCCACCACCACCACCACCACCACCACCACCACCACCACCACAACCACTGTCGTCCGCGTCGACGCTCCCCGCCGGCGCCACCCGCCGCCGCAGGCGCCAGCGCCGGCCCAGAAAAGGAAATCGTCGTCCCCGCCGCCGCCGCCAGCCGCCGCCGACGCAGGTGCCGATCCGAGGAGAGGGAGAGAGGAGAAGTAGGGGAGGAAGGGGGGGTCCGGTTCCAAGCCCCCCCCTTCCAAGCGACCACAGAACGCGCTCCTTCCTATGTGCGCAGCCCTCCTTTTCTGGTTGCGCATAACACGATGTTTTTTGAGAAGTACCAGGTCCGCTATGACACGAGTCCGCGGATACATAACAAAGCGGCGCGATGGGAAAGGATGGGTGGGAGGGGTCGGATGTCAGATATGGCGCGAGCGCGCAGTAGCCTCGATATCTCGAGTCGCTGGATGTTCAGGGACCAGGCTTCATTTGGACGTTGCGTAGCGTCGCCCAAACTCCAAGGCAAAAGCCAAACATCAGCAGTAGAGGCAGCGCAAGCTGCTAGCAGGCCATAGTTGAACAAGTACAGGTGAAATCTCCTGGCGGAGGAACGAATGGGCAAGGAAAAGAAGGTCCTGCGCCAGCCATGGCGGCAGCAAGCCCGAGGGACCGAGCTACACCCGACGTCGCGAGGAACTCCAGGCGCCGAACCCCCCGACCAGGCGACGGCGTTCTCAGGGACCGGCTTCTCGTCCCGAGTATTTTCTGCTTCGCGGCAATGGCCAACACACCGCCCTTCGTCGTTGATTCGGGGCCAGAGCCCAGACGTCCGATTGTGTAATTTCTGCGATGCGCGGCCCCGGAGTTCCCAACCCTTTCCCCGTGGCCAATTTTTCGCCCCGCATCCATGTTGGATGGCCCTGAGGCCTGGCAGCGGCCCCAAGATATCGAGATCGAAAAACAGCGCCAGGGTTGAAGCAATCATATCGTTGGAGATCTGGGCCTGAGGATTGGCGAGCTGGGCGAGGAGGAGAAGGACGACGACGACGACAGCGACGGCGGTGGTGGCGACTGGCGACTTTCGCCTGCCGAGGCCGTCGAGGTGGACTTCCGCGCCGCCGCCCCCGCGGCGGCCAGCTCCAGAGAGCCGCTGGCAGGCTCCGACGAGGCGCCGGCGGGAGGCTGAGTCCCCGCTGGCGTGGTCTCACCTAGCGGGGGTTGCTCAGGAACCCCCCTCCTTCACCCTCCTCTCCTCGGATGAGGACTACCCCGCCTGCGCGCGAATGCCTGCGCTTTCACAGGGCTTTTTGGCCGCGTTGCGCTCGCGCGAAAAGGTGCGTATCTCGCTCGCTCGCTCGCCTCTTCCCTATCCTGTTCATTCCTGCCCCCCTTTCTGTCCCTCTCTCCCTTCCTCCTTCTCCCTCCCAGCTTTATCTCTTTCAGTGAAAAGAGATGCTGAAACCCAAGGGTCCCGGAGACGTTTCGCCGTTTTCAATGCCCCAGGGCCGTCGGCGGGGGTTGCGGGGCTGTTGTCACGAAACGACTGGGATTGAAAGGCTGGTCCTGGGGAAGGCCTCAGGGTCCAGGACCTGCTTCCACCAGGACCCTTTTTCTCTCATGCCAGACTTCCATTCCTCCTCTCCGTCCGCCTCTCTTGATTCCTAATTCCTGCTTCCTTTTCCCTCCGCCCTCCCCCTCACAAGCGAGCACATGGCGTTCAAGGCACATCAGAAGCTGCGAAAACTATGCGCAAGAACAGATCACGATCAAATGGCGACACGAAATGCAATCTGGTAAGTTCGTGTCACCTCGGTCCGGTGGCAGCGCGGACTTGGGCAATCCAGAAGCCCCCGTAGCGGACGTCGCCCTGAGTGCGCCTTCCACAGCCTCTTTCTCCGTGGCTCCGCGGCCTGCTCGCAACCCCACCTGTAGCTCTTCCGATCTGTGCGGGCGCCAGGTCCACTTCAAGGAAGCTGTAGCTGGCGTCGCCCAAGATTTCGAGTGGCTCGTGCTGCGGCAGAAGCCAGGGGCTGACGTGACGTGGTGCGAGGGCTTGCCGCATGCGGCTTCGAGGGCATGGCCAATTACGCAGCAACTCCAACGGATTCGTGGATCGACTGCGCGGACCACCAACACCGACAATGTCACCAGGCGAAGGGCAGCGAGTCTGGAAAGACGGCTGCTACCCCCTCCAGATCCCCCCGGAGCGACGCAGGCCAGTGTCGTCGAGACAGGTGCCCGGTGATAGGAACTTCCTGTCAGCGCGCGTGGAATATCGGGCCGACAGGGGATGAGGTGCATCGTTCCAGAGCGTTTCAGGACGCTCTCAGAGCGTCCTGGAAAACTCTTCTGCGACCTCTTGCGAATCCCACCCTTACGGGTCTAATCGACGCTGGGGTATCGGGCCATTCTGCTGGGGTTCACTTGGCTGCAGTCAATCAGTTAGTCAGTGGGCCGTGCATCTTGAGGACGCGTAGGCAAAATAACACTTAAAAAGTTGGGGTGATGCGCCAAATGCGTCCCGAATGTAGTCAGAGCAGAGCAGTCCTCCAAACGCGTTGCGATGATGATGATGATGATGATGATGATGATGATGATGATGATGATGATGATGATGACGATGCTGCTGCTGATGCTGATGCTGATGCTGATGCTGCTGCTGCTGCTGCTGATGATGATGATGATGATGATGATGATGATGATGATGATGGTGGTGGTGGTGGTGGTGGTGGTGATGATGATGATGATGCCAAACGCGTTGCGCGAACGCGTTGCACCAGCTCGGCTGCAGACATCCGCTAAATTCGGAACCCGAGCCAGTTTGTTGAGAGGTCCGACCTGCAGGGGTACTCAGGGTTCACATGTGGTTGCCTAGCTCGGGTTCGGTCGCGGCACCCGAAACGCCCTTCAGACCCGCCCGCCCTCAGAGGTCCCCCGGTCTGTCCTCGCCCAGGCGTGTCCCCGTCCGGCCTCCGCCTCAGCGGGGAGCGGAAGGCGAGCGCGCCACCTTCCCGCCCGCACCGGGTCCGAGCCTGGGCCCGCCGAGCACCGACGCCAGAGGCAACGCTGGGGGGAGAAAGGCTCAGGCGGAGGGGACTGCATCGACCCCCAATCGCTCATCGATCACGGACAGGAGCCTCATAGCCCAGCCCGCCCAGGAGCGCGCGGCTTGGCCATCGGGGGCCTGTCGCCCGTTTGCCGGCGACGTATCGCCGATTCCAGCTCGACGTTTGCCCCCCTGGGCTGGTCCCCCACTGTGTTCCCCCTCAGGCTCGTCGCCGCTGCGATTCCGGACGTTGAACGTGTTGGAAATAGCCAGCGCGGAGGTTAGTCGTCGTTTTCGGCCTCCCAGGGGCACTCGCCCGGCCCCGGTGCCGTCGAGAACTGGCTCGGGACAAGAAGCTAGCCCCGAGGAAAGAGTCGGCACTTCTGGGCACGTCGGATCCCTGAAACCCCAGACGTCCAGCGCTCCTAGCTTTTTTTGCGGCGGTGCGTGGACCCCGCACCGCGGCGCTGGGCTGGGAGTCAGGGCTCTTTGGGACAGGGCTTGATGGCGCCAGAGCTTGCCAATGGTAAAATTGGAACTGAAGACGACCAGGGGAGGAGGAGGAGGAGGAGGAGGACGAGGAGGAGGAGGAGGAGGAGGAGGAGGAGGAGGAGGAGGCAGAATAAACCCAAGGTGCATCAGCGATGCCGCAATGCTCCCTCCCATCTCAAGTCCGTCATCATAAAGAGAGAGCGCCAGTGGTAGACCCCCAACACGACAGGTGTGTGTGTGTGTGTGTGTGCGCTAACGACCCCCCCCCTCTCCCCCTTCAAGGGGATCTGTTTAAGAGGGGGGGGAGCGGTGCCGCCCCCCCTCCCCCCTTTGGTAAGGGGGGGATCCTCCCCCCATCCCCCCCCCTCTTGGCGGTGGAAGAGCGGGTGTCGCGCTGGTGTTACGGGTAGGGTGTTAGGGTGTTTGGGTGTTAGGGTGTTAATGTTAGGGTGTTCGGGTTAAGGTTCGGGTGGTTATGTTAGGGTGTTAGGATTAGGGTTGCTGCTTCGGGATCAGGGTGTTAAGGTCACGATCAGGCTGCAAGGGTCAGTGTGTTGGGTTGCGATTCGTGTGTAAGGTCAGGGTGGTAGGGTTAGGACTCGGGCGGTTGATTTAGGGTGTCAGGGTTCGTGTTTAAGGTTTTTTTGATTCGCGTGTTAGGGTGTTCGGGTTAGGGTGTTTCGGTTAGGGTGGTAGGGCTAGGTTCAAGGTTGGGGTGTTGGGGTCAGGATGTTAGGGTTTAGGGTGGTAGGATTAGAAAGTTAGCGTTCGCGTGTGAGGGTGTTTGGGTTTAGATATCGTGTTTACAATTAGGGAGTTCGGGTTAGGATCAGGGTGGTAGGGTTGGGGTGTTTGGGTTCGGGTGGTAGGGTTAGGGTCAGGATGACAGGGTTCAGATTCGTGCTTATTGTTAGTGTGTTAGGATCACGGTTTGGTTGCTAGTGTTAGGGTTAAAGTTATGTTGATAAGGTAAGGGTGTTAGGTTCACTTTGTGCTTGCGCGGATCATTCGCTTCCGCCCTCAAGCCCTTCCCATAATAGCGACCACATCTTCTTTTCGCGTCAACGTGGTCTTGCATACTCTGCACCTTCCGAGCACAGCTGGGCTGTCTCGTGGCGATCTTGGGGCATGCCTGGATCCTGCTGCTACCCCTTCCCATGAGATCAACCTCCTTTGAAGATGCGGATGTGGATGCTGCTGCTGCTGGCGACGGCGAGCCTGGGAGCGCTTGGGGAGCGATTGGAGCGTCTGGTAACGTCCGGGGGCGTCTGGGAGCGCCTGGCGCAGCCTGGGGAGCGCAGGGGTCACAGCTCGGAGTCGGCGAGGGGTGCCCGAAACGCATCGAGTTATTATGCATCTGAGATCGAAGCAATGATTTTCCAACCTCGTGCTCCCAGGCGCTCTTCGGGGCCAGAAACAGGGTGTTTAAGATCAGCTCAGGTGCGCCGATATTTGTTGTTCATTAGAAATCAATTATGTATATGATGGTGGGGGCTGGATCGATGTTAAGATCAGCAGATGTTCGCCGAATGACATATGTTGTGTAGGATCGCAACTGTTGGATCGCTGTGAAGATAAACCGATGTCAACCAATTTGTGTAATTTGCAAGAAGGCTCGTGAGGGTTGGAAGTCAAATGTGACGATGATGAGATCAGCCAGGAGGGCACGATTCGTCTGCAGGCACAGGAGTCGTGAGGGTTCAAAAGAGCCGATGTGCACCGCGTAGCGTTTTTTTACATAGGATCGCGGGGGAGGGCACCATCGGGATGCGCACGATCCGAGTGCGTGCGCAAGGATCGCATAGGTTGCGAAGGTGTCACGATCAGATGAAATTTGGCTCAATATGAGACGATCTTGCGATTCGCCGATGTGCACCGCGTCCTTCTTTTCCAGGGGATCCCTCACACGGTCGCGGCCTCGGGCCCGTTTGCAGCCGGTCGGGGATCGGCTGGAGGGCGGTGAAAGGGTTATATGATTCTAGGCTTGGATTTTTGTGGTGGTAGGGTTTTAGCATTAGTATTGATGGTCATGGTGTTGGGGTTGGGATTCGCGTGTTCGGGTTGTTGTGATAGGGTTAGGGTGTTCGGGTTAGGGTGTTCGGGTCACACAGTGCTTGCGCGGATCACCCCCTACGCCTGCAACCCTTCCCATAAGATCGACCTATCCTCTTATCGCGTCAACGCGGTTGTGCATCATTTGCACCTTCGGAACACAGTTTGGCCATCTTGGGGTGATCTCTGGGCGTGCCTGGGTCCTGCTTTTATACCCTCTCAGAATATCGGCTTCCTCACAATCTCGACCCGCTTTTACCTCCTAGTCATCTGCTCCTCACGGCTTCTTGCGGTGACGATGACGGTGAACATGGGGATGTGGACGCTGCTGCTGCTGCTGCTGCTAGTGGCGACGGCGAGCTCGGGAGGGCTTACGGAACGATTGGAGCGTCTGGGAACGCCTGGTAACGTCTTGGAGACCAGGGAGCACGTTGCGAAGATCACCCAATGTCCAGCAGAAGGGATCATGACCGTTGGATGGAAGTGGCAATGACCAGATGTGCACCGAATTGTGCAGGGTGGTGGGTGTTGGTTCGCTGGGCAGGTCAGTCGATGCCCACCACATGTTTTTTCCTGTTGCAAGGGGTCGTCAGGGT